CAACTCCATCTGATGTGTCTAGAATAGAGTTAAACATATTATTGAGTTCATTATTGCTAATATCCATATCAACATCTATTTAATTCTCAAATTGCTAAATTTATTTATTTATTATTATTTTTTTTTTTGCGAAACTATCAGTTACTGGAAGACAATTTAAACTTCGCAGTCCCAATCGCGAAGAAACAGAAAAAGAATTTCCCGCTTTGGCTAGTGAAGAATTGTTAGATATGGTATGTCATTCGAACTATATATATATATTTTTATAAAAATAAAGTACTTATCTATTTATTATTTTTTAATAGTTTCGTTGGTTTAATAAATACGGAGTTTTAGGCGAAGAATTTAGCGACATTTCCATCGCTAAAGATTTACATCCAAATATTACTTCTTTTGAACAATATGCTTACAAGAATTGGAGTAATAAATAATTTTTACAGTTTATTTTGATAAATAACGATAGAAATAATTTCTCAAGCCCATAAGCCCCTGTTAATTTTAAACTAAGACATATTCAAATGTACAAATACTATTTATCAAAATCTGTTTATAGAAATTTCAAATGTACAAACACTATTTATCAAAATCATTTTATGGAAATTTCAAATCAATAAAAAAATTAGGTAGCTGCACGACATTGTCGCGCTAAAACCAAGACAGGGATGCTTTTTTAGGTTGAGTGAATAAATTTGATGTCTTGTAAATTTGAATAATGATTATGATAGACTAATTTCGTAAACTATTTTTTCCGAATGTTATTTCGTTGATAAAATTGGAACGATTTAAGTTTGGTCTGATATATAGTTAGTGCTAGCTAAGGGTGAACTTTTCAAAACCCCAGCTACGTATACAATTCTTGTTCTTTATCTTTTTAGTGATAATGTATTAGTGTAATATTTCTCTGTTGTCCGGTAAACTCATGATCATGAATTGCCATCTGTCTTGTTATTTTTTTCACGTGTTACGATGTAATCATGTTATTCAAATTAAACTCAGTCTATGACTCCCGGGTTTACTAATTTCCCCACCAGTTCCTATTGGACGAATGCTGATATTGTTTCCCATTGGACGAAAGATATACATCATTGATCGGGAGAAAGATATTTTTTATGTCCGCAAGTGTTACTTTTGAAATAATTGCGTATTGATTAAAAAAATTTTTTTTTTAAATAATCCTTTCTTTTAGCGCTAACGTTTAGCAATTTTTTTGAATTTACAGCTTCTAAATCTTGTGCGATCGAGTAATAATTTTTTTTTTATCAATTCTATTAAATCTATTGTGCTGTGTAAATTTTTCACCATTGAAATAAAAAAAAAATAGTAATAATAAAAATACTAAAAAAAAAAAAAAAAAAAAACAAAAAAAACAAAAAAAAATTTAAAACCATTTTGTTAGTTGTATTTTTGTTAAAATGTTAACTTCACCTGATTATATTTACGATATTGAAGAAGATGTTGATATGGATATTAGCAATAATGAACTCAATAATATGTTTAACTCTATTCTAGACACATCAGATGGAGTTG